CCCAACATGGGTATGGGTCAAAAATTCAACAATCAGTTGACCGCAGGCTTTAGTGCATGTTTCCACTTACCAGGGTTCAATTTTGGCTGCCTATTTTTGACCCACAGCCACATGGCCTCGGGGTCGACTCCAAGTTCCAAGTCGTGAGCTTCCTGTCTGCGATGCCCGCGGCGGTCGGCTGCTCTCTCATCATGGCCAAGATCCGGTTTGTTGATGCCCTTCCATATTGCCTATGTACCACAGGACGTCTCACCCATTCAAGTCTTGCGCCAGATAGATCTTTATAAGTTTTGTTTCTGGCTTTTGGCAATGCCCGGACAGGGTGGTACCATTCTTCCAGTTGCCAGTGACCGGTACTGATTCCCCTTTTTAGGTGACTTTAATGCACTTATCACATTTGTCTATAAGGTTTCAGTGGGGAAGATATTGACTACTCATGGCCATTTCCGTTTGGAGCTATTCAGAAGCAGGTTCATATTTGCGCCTTGTGTTTTTTGTTGAATAAGGACTGATTCCAGCAGGTGGACCGATTCCTACGTTGACAAAAAACACATTTGCTGTAAATGGGATGAGGGATACTCGCAACCTGTTTCAATTTGTGCTTTTTGTAAAACGTGCCTTGTCACTCACACAGAGCCATTTATTGGGTCTGTTAGAAATTGTCTGGAAAAGGTTTTCTGTGACTTTACAGTTCCTTGTGCTTTGTCGGAACCATCCGTGTTACTTGTTTTTTTACCGACCTCCCAGCACATGGGTGACACTTAATCCCTTCCCCCTATTGACCCCCTTATAAATTGATATTGACTTTTGGGGAACATGAATGGTCCTAGTCCAAACGGGCTCCCCCCGACCGCCAAACTCAGAGACTGCAGCGTAAGAGATTTATGCACGAAGTTGCTCAGGGCACTTTGTTGGATTTGAGAATTCACATTTCAAGGGCAAAAGTCAAGTTACTATTTGCAATTTGATCTTACAATTGAAAGGAAATTCAGATTTAGCATTGGGCCAATGAAAGGCAAATGGGGCGATGTGGCTTTTGAATTTTGGCTTGAAAAAGCATATGTATATATCAAGGGGTGTATTTATTAGTAGCGGAGCGGATGAGTAGTCATACTGCATCCGTGGTTACATGTCAACAACCCCAGCCCCACTCAAAACAAAGGGTGATGTTTGAGGGGGACATCATGTTCCTGTCGGACACAGGGCCGGAGGGATCGTGCAAGAAGCCCCCGGTATGTGGTCTGCCGCGAGCTAAGGCCATGGAAGTTCGGCAACATCATTTTGAGGGCCAGTACGTGCGGGGCCTTGTGTTTTGTTGCTGATTGATTGGTTCTTTGTGTGTTTGTTTGTTTTTCTGTTTGTTCGATTGTTTCTATGTGTGTGTGTGTGTGTGCCTTTTTGTTTGTTTGTGTGCTTGCTTGCTTGCTTGCTTGCTTGCTTGCTTGCTTGCTTGCTTGCTTGCTTGCTTGCTTGCTTGCTTGCTTGCTTGCTTGCTTGCTTGCTTGCTTGCTTGCTTGCTTGCTTGCTTGCTTGCTTGCTTGCTTGCTTGCTTGCTTGCTTGCTTGCTTGCTTGCTTGCTTGCTTGCTTGCTTGCTTGCTTGCTTGCTTGCTTGCTTGCTTGCTTGCTTGCTTGCTTGCTTGCTTGCTTGCTTGCTTGCTTGCTTGCTTGCTTGCTTGCTTGCTTGCTTGCTTGCTTGCTTGCTTGCTTGCTTGCTTATATGTTTGTGTGTGTGTGTGTTGGTTTGATTTGATCTTGTTTGATTTTGTTCAACTTGTTGTTCTGGGTGTGTGTGCGTGCGTGTGGTTTCTTTATTTGTTTGCTTGGCTGCTTGGTGGCTTGGTTGCTGGGTTGCTGGGTCGCTTGGTCGCTTGGTCGCTTGGTCGGTTGCTCGCTTGGTGGCTTGGTGGCTTGGTGGCTTGGTGGCTTGGTGGCTTGGCTGCTTGGTTGCTGGGTTGCTGGGTTGCGTGGTCGCTTGGTCGCTTGGTCGGTTGCTTGGTGGCTTGGTGGCTTGGTGGTTTGGTTGCTTGGTGGCTTGGTGGCCTGGTGGCTTGGTGGCTTGGTGGCTTGGTGGCTTGGTTGCTTGGTTGCTTGGTTGCTTGGTTGCTTGGTTGCTTGATTGCTGGGTTGCTGGGTTGCTGGGTTGCTGGGTTGCTTGGTTGCCTGGTTGCCTGGTTGCCTGGTTGCCTGGTTGCCTGGTTGCTTGGTTGCTTGGTTGCTTGGTTGCTTGGTTGCTTTGTTGCTGGGTTGCTGGGTTGCTGGGTTGCTGGGTTGCTTGGGTGCCTGGTTGCCTGGTTGCTTGGTTGCTTGGTCGCTTGGTCGCTTGGTTGCTTTGTTGCTGGGTTGCTTGCTTGCTTGCTTTATTTGCTTGCTTTGCTTGCTTTGCTTTGGTTGCTGGGTTGCTTGGTTGCTTGATTGCTTGGTTGCGTGCTTCCTTGCTTCCTTGCTTCCTTGCTTGCTTTGCTTGGTTGCTTGCTTGTTGCTTGATTGCTTCCTTGCTTCCTTGCTTCCTTGCGTCCTTGTTTGCTTGCTCGCTTGCTTGCTTCCTTGCTTCCTTATTTGCTTGCTTGCTTTATTCCTTGCTTCCTTCCTTTCTTCCTTGCTTTCTTGCTTCCTTGCTTCCTTGCTTCCTTCCTTGTTTGCTTGCTTGCTTGCTTGCTTTTTTTTTTGTGGTGTGGTTTTGTTTGTTTGTTTGTTTGTTTGTTTGTTTAGTGCATATATCAGACATATATATATATATATATAAGTATGTTAACCCCCCCCTGCCGGGATCCCCCCCCAGAAGCACTTGCTATATGAATTTATATATGCTCACACCCCACCCATGATCCACTTGTCCTCCTTTGCACATCTTCCATTTTTGCAAATCCTCTCAAAAGCTACCATAGCTCTGCACATCTGCTCATTTGCGATTTTCCACCTTTTCAAATCTGCTCCACCACTGTCCATTATGTTTCCACGTGCTTGCCAAACTGTAGTTAACTTTGATTAAAGTCCTGTTTGGAAAGGATTTATACTTAAATTAGCAATCAAAATAGACATTTGAAATTCATTTACATAATTATCTTTGATTAAAGTCCGGTTTGGAAAGTACTTCCTACTTTAATCCTCAATTAGAATAGACATTCAACCGCACATGTTTGTTCTTCAATTCTATCACAATTGCAATATTGGATGTTGAGTAAATATTATTCAACAGCTATTTAAATTTAATTTCGAATTGATGCCACAAATAGAATTTGAACTATTCCCTTGCTAAGTTCTTAGATTCATGCACAGGACGCTTTACTTAGTTTCCAACTGAAGATAGAAGTCTAATGGAACCCGTGCCCTATTAAATTATATGCACGTTCTGCCAGTTAATGTTAGTTTGACATCACGTATGGAAAGGACTTCTCCTTTCCATTCTTTCAACATAGAAATCCCACTAGATGTTCTTCCTTTAAACATTGATTAAACCTCAATTGGAGTCCAATTTGGTATAAGGAGCCTTATAAGGAGTTGTTCTTTTACAGAGCTTTAACAGGAGCTGTACAAGGAGCACAGCAAGCATCTTTTCAAGGAGTATAAGGAGCTTTGTAAGAACTTGAACATGTGCATTGTACTGTATACGGAGCCTTATATGCAGCTTTGCAATGACCCTTATAAAGAGCTTTATCATGCGCCTTGAAAGGAGCTGTACAAGCATCTGTGCAAGAAATTGCACAAGGAGCCTTTCAGGAGCCTTAAGCACATCTTTATGATGGGTCAGATCTGTCCCTTCAAACAAGAAAACAATAACTAGGGTCCTCATGAAGAAGGGCACCAAACCAGAAAACCCACAAACACCAAAAACCAGGGTCTGGGAGGCAGATGATGGAGGTCACCCTTGTTTGGGGCCCTTCTTCATGAGGCTCCTGGTTTTTTTGTGTTTCTGTTTTTTTCTGGTTTGGTGCCCTTCTACTAGAAGATCTTGGTTTCTTTCCTCTTCCATAGGACCTTGGTTTTTTCTTTTCCAGAAGAACGTGTTTTTCTTCGATGTTTCAGCTTTTCCTTCTCTTTTTGAGCTTGTTTTGGCTTGGAGGGGGGTCGGGGGGGTACCATATATATAGATATATATCCAAGAAACTGAACAAACATGTAGCAGCTTATGTGGAGGGCGCGTGAGTGTGACACTGGCTGTTTCGAGCGAGCATTTGTTTTAGTTTTAAACAACAAGTTTGTCATTGTTTGGGCCAATCCACTCAGGAAGTGAGAAAGCAGGGGCAAATTTGCAAAAGATGACGAAGTTTGAACACGCGGGAAGTGAAGTGGCATTTGAGCGCCACATGGGTATGTCGTTTGTGAAGTTGGGGCGTATTTCATGGGGAAACGACTCATCATTCAAGGCGACACACCACCCTTATTGGCCAGTAGGGGTCACCGTTTCTGGGAAAGTTTGTTGTCAAGCAAAGGCAATTTCCCACTCGCTAATATGGAAGCTGACTGGGAATTGGTACCAGAAAAGATACATTCCTATACTCTTTATACAAGCGGTGTTTGAGCTAATTGTCATCAAGCTTGATCTTCAAAGTGTTGGAAGCCAGAACAGTCATCTGCGGGCTTGATAATTACTTGCGTGCTGCTCCTATCACGCCTTAACTTGACTATTTAGCAGGATCATGGCAACCCGCCCTTTCCTAACGCTTCCATTCTTCCCCCCCCTCCCCGCCCCCTGGTCTGCGCACGGCGTATTCCCAGGCGAAAGCCCTTCGCGGGAATCGTGGACGCTAGGCCAGACGGTGGATGCCGTCGTCTTATTGCGCACAGCGGCACTTCTGAATGTGTGCGCGTGCGCGTGTGTGTGGGTGCGTGCGTGCCCGTGGGGTCGTGCATGCATGCGTGTGTGTTTGTTGAAATTAGTTTGTTTGTTTTTTCAGCAGGGTTCCCTTGTTGGGCTGGTTTAAAGCGGGAACCGACTGGAAAGAAACAGCATTTTGAGGCTATCCGATAGCAAATGGTGGATCCCCTTTTGGCGTTTCTTTCCAAGGGAAAGCAACCCGAAACCAACCATTGTAGGGTGAATACCCGAAATTTCAAACATGGTTTTGGGATTGAGTGTGGTGGGTGTACTTGCAAAAAAGCAGGGACATCCACCGTAGGATTCTGGCGATTAGGCGCTACTGAAATGTCGAGGGAGTTTCCAGGTAGGCTTTCGGAGGTATGGAGGCAATATACCACTTATGTAATGGGGTATATGTTGCCTCGTACGAGTATATATATATATATGTATATATATATATTGGTGATACACAAGCATCCACAACCTCCAAAGCCTATGCCGGGAAACATCTTTGGAAATGAGGTCTGCTCATGAAGGAGGTCTTTCTTACTAGCTGCGGCGGGGTGAAACCGCCAATCCTGGGGGAACCGGTGGCCCTTCCAGACAGGTTCCTGGAGTGTTTCAGGGCGGGTTCCGGGAACCCTTGATTCGACCCCTGAAGGAAACATGGGTGTGTCTTTTCTGAAGGTGCCATTTTTTGGATTAGTTTTAAGGGAATGGAAAAGGAAACTAACCATTTTGTGGGGTTCCCCTATTTTGAGTTATATACCAACATCAAAAGACATGGGCCAATGAAATCCTTTCTTTTCAGGCAACCCTGACATTACTTTGAGAGTGACAAGGACAAGGATAGTGTGAACGGAAATGAGAGCCCAGGTGTCCTTTTGCCTCGGTTGCTGCGAGCCTCCTCAGGATGATCAAACCACAAAGGAAGACAAATTGCAAGTGCCTACCCCTGGTGTCCATTTTTGGGGGAATCCCTCGCATTCACTTTTTAGAGGAACCCCCTATTCCTACGGGTCCACGCATTCACTGTTTGGAGGAAGCCCCTATTCCTACGGATCCACGAATCCTTCACATTCACTTTTGCGAGGACACATCCCTATGGTTCACAAGGTGGATGAATGCGGGCCCGAAACTTAAGCCCTTGACCGCAGGTTCAGGCCCAGACGCGGCACGGGCAGGCGCAGGACACGGATCTGAGCATACAGCTCAGGCCTTGGTTCACACCTTTTGAACGTGCAACTCTGAGCTTAAACAAGAAACAGGCGGTTCCCTTGTTCTCGCTTTTGGCGAAAAACACACCTGACAGCAAGTGGACTGAGTTTGCTTGGAGCCAGTTCTGCGACAGCCAAGTTGCCGAGTTCCGTTTGGAATTCAACGGAACGGTTGCAGTCTCACCGTGTCACTGGCAGTCACTGGATGTGCTGAGTGGATACCCAGGTTTGGGGTTGATTTGGAACACCAAGAAAAAGCTGTCTATGTTGGGGTGCACAAATTCGGAGACACACTGGCCATGATGATCTGAGGTTGTTTGATCTTTCTTGGGTATGTTGATAAATGTCATATGTGTTGGGTTACTCTTCTTTCGGTTCTCTCCATGTCCAGTGAGGCCTGTAAAGAACCCCAAGCAAACCAACAGCATGATGCTTCACCAAGACGGCTCAGCAGTGGGCGTGATTTTTTTGGGGTACCCTTGGTGGACATTGACAGGGGGAATTTACGTCCAGGATTGCCTCCATCATTAAAACTCATAATATACTAACGCTGTATGCTTTTGACAGCTGGGCCACCCTTGGGTTTTCGCTCCAACTTCCTTAGACTGCGAATTTGCTCACCTCGAGCTGTAAGTTTCAGTCACGTCCGCAAGTCGGTCCGATCTAGTGCGCCCGCAAAGCCTTCATTCAAACAGTTTGGCGATGTGACCTAACCCTTCAAGCTGTGCTTTGGTGCATTTTGCTTGGATGTTAGGACTTTAACTGTTTGCCAACTCATGGGTTTTCCATTAAACCACTAAAAGTTGAACTTTTAGCAGGGGAGCAGAAAGCAATTGAGTGTGTATTTGATTTGAAATCGGTCGTGAATGGAAGCCCAGCTCAACGCGGATGTACCCGCTTAGACGTTACATGTGCCATCATGGAACTTGTTCGCCCAAGGTTTTACTTGGTTGGGGTTTGCATGGAAGGGGTTGGAAGAAGAGTATGTTTAGAGGATGTGCTTGACTGGTTTTGGTAGCATTAAGCACGTCAAGATCGTCAGTCTTTAAACAGTGCCTTGTGTTTGGTTGTGGCGTCTACGTGATCTACTGACCACGGACAGACCGAGGCATGTTCCACGGACGGCCGAATCGTTTCCTCAGTGAGATGACCTACCCCTCAGTCAGGTTCCCTGTTAATGGACGGGAGGGTATGAATGTTAACCTCGGAATCCAGGGCCCTAGTCAGACCACCTGCATCGATCATTCCTTGAAAGGGCAGCGAGGATTACGGTCGAAGTTGACGATTAGCATCATGACACATGAAAACAGCACTGCAAAACGAACACCTAGCAGCAAAACCAACAAAGCAAAGAATCGAATACCCCGAAAGGGTTCGAGCAGTTGATCACCCCCTTTCTAACTTATACAACCCCATGTAAGACGGAAGATGCCCTCGAGGTGGGATTTTTGGTTTCAGTTTCAACACGCCAGAGTTTTCAAATAGATGCACTGCGAATCCCACGTATCATGAAGTGTTCTAGCTAGAAGCTATGAGGTCTTTGTCCAGACAGGCTCTGGGTTGGTTTGGGGCAGCTTTAAGGGAGGGTTCAAAAGGGTTTTAGGGAGGTTCCGGGCTGCTGGGGATGCCACCAGGGCGTGTTTTTCAGAGCCCCTTTCGTAAGCCAACCTTGTCCAACCGAAAGCCCACGTCCAACGTTTGACACGTCGAGTTTCGGAGTCGTCGCCTGGTGGGACATGCCTCATGACCACAGATGATGGCCTAGCGGAATCACCATGATGGACAAACTCTTGCAACAATATGCACCAGTTGGGATGGTTTGAACCCTCCGAATGGGATAATCCACCTATTTGCCAGTTGCGTGATCTTTTGTCCATCAGTGGGTGTCCTTTTAACAGTTTGAACGTAGGGTAGAGACTGAATCCAAGAGTTGATTGGTATTGATTTTTCCAGGTATGTACCTTTGCGCGCCTTGCCAGACTTAGCTCACGTGGTGCCCTTCCCTTTTTGGTTTCCTCCATGTTCCTTGGCAAAAGGCTGGCTTGCGAGCCAAAAGGACACCAGCTGCATCACTGTACAGCGTGTGCGTTGCGCAAGGCTTTCGGAAAGGCAGAAGCCAAATGGATCGGATGCCAGAGTTGGGGATGACCCAATGGCGTGGTTTATTTTTGGGAAATCCGTTAAACAATTACCTGTTTTGTTGGTTAATCTGGAGTTTCAAGTCCAGCGCGTGTGCCAGAAGTCTTTTGTTTGTGCAGCTGGGCAGCAGATCTGAGTGAAAGTTCTTTTTGTGACTCTGTGTGTCAAAATAGGGACCCCGAAAATGGTTAGTTTTCTTATGTTTTTTCGTTTGAATCTAAGGGAAAAAGCTACGCGGCAAGAGACTCCCTTGGTTTAGGTCAAACTCACCGTGCATGGCCGGATGCATCGGAGGACACCTGAGGGAAGTTGAATGAGACGGTTCTTTTCCCGAGTTCCATTTTGGGAAGCAAAAAGTTCCATTTTGGGCTTCCATTGCCGCTTAGATTTATGCCGCAGGGCCTCGCGGGGTTCATTGCTTGCTTGCTTTCTTGCTTGCTTGCTTGCTTGGTTGCTTGGTTTCTTGCTTGCTTGCTTGCTTTCTTTGCATTGGTTGCTTGCTTGCTTTCTTGCTTGCTTGCTTGCTTGGTTGCTTGGTTTCTTGCTTGCTTGCTTGCTTTCTTTGCTTGCTTGCTTGCTTTCTTGTTTGTTTTTTTGCTTGCTTGCTTTCTTGCTTGCTTGCTTGCTTTCTTGCTTGCTTGCTTTCTTGCTTGCTTGCTTGCTTGCTGCTTGCTTTCTTGCTTGCTTTCTTGCTTGCTTGCTTTCTTGCTGCTTTCTTGCTTGCTTTCTTGCTTGCTTTCTTGTTTGGTTGCTTGCTGCTTGCTTGCTTGCTTGCTTGCTTGCTTGCTTGCTTGCTTGCTTGCTTGCTTGCTTGCTTGCTTTCTTGCTTGCTGCTTGCTTTCTTGCTTGCTTTCTTGCTTGCTTGCTTGCTGCTTGCTTTCTTGCTTGCTTGCTTTCTTGCTTGCTTTCTTGCTTGCGCTTTCTTGCTTGCTTGCTTGCTTGCTTTGTTGCTTGCTTTCTTGCTTGCTTTCTTGCTTTCTTGCTTTCTTGCTTTCTTGTTTTCTTGCGTTCTTGCTTGCTTGCTTGCTTGCTTGCTTTCTTGCTTGCTTGCGTGCTTTCTTGCTTGCTTGCTTTGTTGCTTGCTTTCTTGCTTGCTTGCTTGCTTTCATGCTTGCTTGCTTTCTTGCTTGCTTGCTTTTTGCTTGCTTCTTGCTTGCTTGCTGGCTTGCTTGCTTGCTTGCTTGCTTGCTTGCTTGCGTGCTTGCTTGCTTGCTTGCTTGCTTGCTTGCTTGTCTTGCTTGCTTGCTTTCTTGCTTGCTTGCTTGCTGCAGTGCTTCTAGCTTGCTTGCTTGCTGCCTTGCTTGCTGCTTGCTTGCTTGCTTGCTTGCTCTTCTTTTTTTTGTTTGCTAGATGCTTGCTCTGCTTGCGTGCTCTTGCTTGCTTGATTTCTTTGTTTGCGTTGCTTGCGTTTTTTTTTTTTGCTTGCTTGCTGTTCTTTTTGCTTGCTTGCTTCTTTGTTTGCTTGCTTCTTGCTGCTTGCTTCTTGCTGCTTGCTTCTTGCTGCTTGCTTCTTGCTGCTTGCTTCTTGCTGCTTGCTTCTTGCTGCTTGCTTCTTGCTGCTTGCTTCTTGCTGCTTGCTTGCTGCTGCTTGCTTGCTGCTGCTTGCTTGCTGCTGCTTGCTTGCTGCTGCTTGCTTGCTGCTGCTTGCTTGCTGCTGCTTGCTTGCTGCTGCTTGCTTGCTGCTGCTTGCTGCTGCTTGCTGCTGCTTGCTGCTGCTTGCTGCTGCTTGCTGCTGCTTGCTGCTGCTTGCTGCTGCTTGCTGCTGCTTGCTGCTGCTTGCTGCTGCTTGCTGCTGCTTGCTGCTGCTTGCTGCTGCTTGCAGCTGCTTGCT